AGCCCGCTCAGAGATGTGTATAAGAGACAGGGTAGAGAGGGTATTTTCGTCGCTCGTCTCCGAGAAATTATCCCGCAAAAACACTTCGCGGAATCTTAACAATAGTTATTATTTAAGTACGGTATTTAATAGAAATAAGGATAATTGGAATTCTAACTCTAACTTAATAGCTAATAATGGAATTTATTTGTCGGTGGTCACGCGCGCTCCGAGTGGCGTGAGCGCGCGCCCCGGCTGACGCGCATTCCGTCTGATGCGCCGGCACTCGGGCGGCGTGCCACTAATATAATACAAGGAAAATAATTGATGAGTCTATAAAATATTTTGATTCCTCTCACGCAGGACGTAACAGTGACTAAACTAAAATTTCTGTTTTTTCTTTAATAATTCTTTTCTTACGTTTCAAGGAACGAGTCTAGATTTGTGGGTTATTACAATTTACATCGTGTGAGTATAAACTGGTTATTTATTTATCGTTCATGCATACTTCATTCATACGTTAGAAAATATAAAGTTTTATAAACAAGACATACAATAACATGTATCACGTGCCCAAACGGGTCTTTACATATGGTTATAGAAATAAACTAAAATATCACATTTGTTAATCTCATGTATCTTTTGATTGCACACAATTAGTGCTGTAAGTGTGGTTCTCGTTTTTATCCACACCTTTACATAAACTAATAGTAATCATAACCGTGAGTTACGCTAGCATTTACCATAATATACTCTTGAATAAACGCCATAATCTATGGTTTCCGCAATTAAAATTAAACATTGAACGTACAATATAATTTCGCGCATAAAAATAACAATAAAAATTAAATAAAATAATTAATGACTAGCGAATCAAATAATAAAGGAGTACAATGAAAATAAACATAAAATGAGATAAAGCGATAATCACGCTATTACTTGTCCACAATTGGACTGGCCCGATCACTTGGTCGTCGGCCCATCTTCGTCCTTGGGATCCTCTTCCACCCTTTTCTCTTCCTCGGAGATAAAGGCACTGAGCAGATCCACAGCGCACTGCGCCTTACCAAAAATGCCCACCTCAGCGCTTCTCTCCGGTATTATATTCTCCATTGTGAGTTCGGCCGTTACCTCGACTTCCTTAGCGACCAATGGAGCCGGTGCTTGGGCTTCCGGTTCCAAGTTAACTGAACTCTCAGCCTCAATGTTGTGACATGCAACTATATCATATATATATCTCAACTATATTATTTGTTGTACAGACTATATTAGAGAGATAACAATAATGCTTCGGTTGAGGCAACCACATATATGAAGATATTCTAACTGAATATTATTTATCCTAAGCACTATACGGTTGTGACAACCGTACTGATGAGCATACCTTAACAGATGAATGCCATGTAACATCAATAT